ATGCCAATAGGAGTCAGGCAGAGCCCCCTGTGCCCGCAGGCCTGATGTGACATTTGGGATGTGCTTACCATGACACACAAAAAAATGCATACCATCCACTTTCCTCTATACAAACTGGCAAGTCAGATCAAATCTGTGAGTTCTTTAGGACACTGCCCTCCAAACCAAACCTCTGTGAGCTGCATGGGGTGACCAGGACTAACTTTTAGAAAACCCCTATGAAGTGCATGCAGTGCAAAAGGTGGCATCTGCATTTCATAGGTGGGGACACAGAGGCTTGGAAGACTTGGGCTCACGGTCAAGCCAGGAAGACAGCAGGTGTGTGTCATCTCAGGGTTTTTTTAGTTACAGTGAGTGCTTTTGCAGGTCCCTGCATAGGGCTGTGACAGGTGCTGAGAGTCATTTCTTACTGTCGATGCAGATGCAGGAGGGGACCAAATGGACGAGGAATTTGCAGCACCCCCCTTATTTCTGAGCTAATGTTAACCTCATGCTATGTAAATGCACACCCAAGAATAACTGTTCTTCCAGAAAGCTCTTGCCACGGATGTCCGGCTTTGCTCTGCAAGGGTTTCCCTTTCTCAGTTTCCTGTTTCCGGTCTCAGCTGTCATTTGAAACGTCCCCCACCTACAGATCCACATGTCCTCCTGGGGGTTGGGGAGGGAGGGAGGGAGGGAGACATAGCATGGAGGGTGCGCTGCGGGGGAGGGCAGATGTGCCCTTTAGATCTCAGGATGCATTTGAGAGGCTGCTGCTGGGTTTTGAGTGGCAGTTGTGTGTCCTGCATAGAGATTGAGTTTCTTTTTTCAGGCATTGTAGTCTTATTGCTAACTCATTGCTGCCTACCTTCATCATTTATGAGTATTTTGAAAAAATAAATAAATAAAACAAATCCCAACACTCTTCTGGAAACACAAGAACCCAGGGGAATTTGTAATGTGTCAAGAAGGGACTGGACAAGGCTGGGGATGGGGTCTAAGCAAGGTAAGAGGAACTCAGAACCATCTTGAAAGGAGCCAATCCAGACAGCCCCAAGAGCCCTGTGCTACCCTTGGAGACATGGTCCGGCAGAATCTGGGACCCAAATGATGCCCAACCTCGTGGACTCCTTCTTTAAGAATCTGGCCCCTTTATTTTGTCTCTCAAACATCAGTTTCTTTTCAAAGATTGAAAACACAAATGCTTAGAGAAGACAGGCAGGCAATGTCAGTCAGCAGAGCAGGTGGGTATCCTCAATTAGGCTCTGGTGGAGATTTTTTGGTGAACTGGTGCCTAGTCGAGGAGTCCCAAGTCACCCACCAGCCCCTGCTGGTGGTTACTTTTGGGAGAGGGCGAATGAGGCACATGGTGGGCAAAGCATCTCATTTGCCAAGAGCAGATAAACATTCATAATTTTTTTTTTCTGTGAACACTGCTGATTTTGAAAAGGTGGCAATGAATTTGACTTTCCTTATGACACTCCGCCTGCAATTGGCTTGGGGCTCCTGCATCCTAAAGCCTCTGGTTGGGCCGTGCAAATCCTGGTGCGTTGCTTGGGTGTCCCGAGGACATTCACCTGCTATTTAATGACAGTATTTGTGCACGCTCCAAAGGTCAATCATTTGAGAAATTGCAAAAGGGAACATCTCATAAAGCCTGTTGCTTAGAACCTACTTCCTCACCCAAACGGAGCCTGTCTCCCCATCCCCCCCCCACCACCTAGTCAAGCCATGGAAGTTGGAGAAGCATACTTCAGAGAACGTGTTAACCAAACAGGCCACGGGAAGCCTCTACAACGGGTCCTTCCTTTCTTCTTCTTCTTCTCTTTCTTTCTGAGACAGGTTCTTGCAGTATTGCTCAGGCTGTCCTCGAACCCTTGGGTTCAAGGATCCTCCTGCCTCAGTCCCCCAAGTAGCTGGGATGACAAACGTGCACCAAGCTGGATTTTTAAAACAGAGCATCCTTCTTAGAAAGTTGCTGGCTCTGAATTATTAAGATTCAAGGGAAGGCTTAGGGGCATGGTCACAGGAAGTTTGGGGTGACATAATCCTGCCTGTGACTGGAGGCCCAAAGCAAATGCAGTTTGGGAGAGTTGTGGCCGCACAGCCGGGCAGTAGGACACTGGCCCAGTGTCTTTGGTAGGATGTCCCGGTCTTGTAGCCTGCATCCCCACTCGCTTCCTCTAGTGTCATCAGCAATGGGACACCCAGGCCCCTCCAGACCAGCGGCCCCAGCATCGGTTTGAACTGCAGGTGGTGGTGGATCTAGCGGAAGACCAACTTGCCTCCAAGTAAAACCTTTCTTTCCTAATTGAGATGGGCTCTTTAGGACCATTTGGGATGAACCAAGGGAACATGTGAGGCCATATCCTATGTCCTGTAACGGAATACCTTGGAAATGTGAGCAGGGTAGAGTAGCCTCAGGGGTTGTCAATCATCCCTCTTGGTGGAGACTGGAAATGTTCCTCCCACCCAAACCTGACCTATGGTGAGCCCTGACCTTCCTGGGGGTACCGCATGGGATACGGGAGGCTTTTAAGCTTGGCCCATTTCCTCTGGCCTGGTGTGGGGACAGATTTCTAGTGTTATAAATTGAAGGGCGGGAAGGGGATGCTAAGATATATGCCTTATTTTCTTTCTTTTTTTTTTGGGGGGGGGGGGGGGGGGGGGGGGGAGTGTTACTGGGAATTGAACCCAGCAGCGCTACATCCACAGCCTTTTAAAAATATTTTATTTAGAGACAGGGTCTCTCTGAATTGCTGAGTGCCTCGCTAAATTTCCGAGGCTGGTTTTGAACTCGCTATCCTCCTGCCTCAGCCTCCCAAGCCACTGGGATTAATTACAGGTGTGTGCCACAATGCCCGGCTATAAGTCTTATTTTTAACACTTTCTGGGGTTCTTGAACTAATATATTTTAAGAAATACTTTTTTAAAGTTATATTTCTTAAAATATATTAGTTCAAGTTCTTTAATAACTTTAAAAAAGAGAGACACCTCAGTTTCAGTCACTTAAAAACTTATTTTATTCAGACAAGGTATGCAATCATTTTACATCCCACCAAGAAGGAAAGAAGACGGCAGCAAAGACATAGAGCACAATGCTCCCCGCCCTTGTGATTATAAGATACCTATGGGTTTCCGAGATGTTGGGGAGCAAATGTGCATTTCTTGGAATCCAGGAAACGCTAGCGTTGCAGTTCTCCTCCGCCCGCAAGCCGCCAGGGGGCGCAAGACGCCGGTTCCTCACTTGGCCCTTGGCGTTGGCGAACGCATCAGCCTCCCAGTACAGAAGGAAAACTTTAAAGAGTTGAGAAGTACCTTGTAGATGCCTCATCCACCAGGAGAAAGCCGAATGAAAAGAAAAAAAGCCTTTCGTTTGTTTTCTTTCTCATTTTCGCCCCAACCTTGCAGGTTTCCTGAGACTCAACGAGGCGGCCAATTGCTCTGGCCATTTTCCCAGGCCTCACCAAGAAAAGGGGAGCCCGAAAGATGACCCCCATCCCCAGCACGCGTTCCCAGGCAGCATAGAAAGACGCCGACGCCCCAGTGCTGTGTTCTGCAAGCACAGTTTTTGTAGGTCCAACGTGCCAAATGGCAGTAACGCCTCATCTATGAGGCTTCCAAGATCTCTTCCAGTTTTATTATTTTATTACTGGGAACAATCTTTTTTTTTTTTTTACAATGCAAATTCAAGTCATCAAAATATTTCAACATCGCATAAGACACGAGCTCTTACTCCTTCAGTACAAGGTGGGAGTCTCCTTTCCCCTCCTCCCATTTTTCAGGGTAAATCCGACACAGCCTCCCCCGCGGGAGCGCTGTGCAGGAGTTAGTCAGATTCCCGTTAATACGCATCTTGGACAGGGTTCTGCTGCGCCACTCAGTGCCCGGGCTGCCCCTGGCCAAGGCCGCCAGAAGAGGCGTAAGCAAGGGTAAGTGGGAGCGAGTGGGTGGAGGGAGGTCAGGGTCTTTCCGATCAGCCTGTAGGTGGCGCCCTGGGAAAGGGATTCTCCAGCTGCGTTCCACACGCTCCAGAAGCCGGAGGCACGGGGTTCAGGCTCAGCAGCCCGGTGTCCTTCACAACTCGCTCGGCTGCTCCGTACGCGTGCGACAAACGGGGGGAGTCCCGGTTGCAAACAGCAGAGCCGGTGCAGGGGCGGGGGAGTGGCACGCGGCCCCGACCCCCACGCGCCAGGCTCCCCCGCCACCCCCACGCGCGGCGGGGCCCTGCCCACCCCACCCGGCGGCAGGTGGACAGTGTTGCTATGAAGAGAAAGCCCCGATTGTTCCTACCACAAACTGCCACACGCCAGACCTCCGCTATTGTGCGCCCCCCATAGAAATGCAAACGAGCCGCGTGCGCCGGCCACAATCTGCTTGTCCTCCCCCGCCCGCGCCCTGCAGCGCTCTGCCAAGGGCGGTGTGGTGGGCTCCAAGCTCCCAGGGCTGACCCTGAAGGGCACTGAGTATGCGTGGCAGGCCTTGCCAGCGCGCTCTGGCGACTGGTGTCAGCTGCAGGAGCTGAGCCTATTGCCTTTTGCAAGTCCCCAAACTACTGTAGCCTGCTTTGGCTTTAATTTTTGGTTTCAATGCAACAGCCTCATAAAGTTTAAATTAAATGGAAAGAAAAAAAAATGGAAAGATAGCAATAAAAAGACGTGCAAAACAAAATTCTTTTTCTTCCTCTGTGCATTTCACAAATTGTAGCATCGTACTAGCAAAAAGGTTTTCCTCTTTAAAAAAAAAAAAAACAACTTTTCCCTTTTAAGGACTTAAAAAAAAAGGCGAGATGAAATCTGCAGGCTCCAGTCTGCCTGGTAACACCCCAACAAAAGCGGCAGATTTGAGGCATTGTCATCCCCCCGCACCCCTCCCCACGTGGCCTTCTGGCACGAGCCGACTGCCTGCCGCCTCATTTGCATCAGAAAGCGGGCGCCGGCCAATGGGCGTGCAGCCTAGCGCCAGCTGGCGGCGCCTCGCCTGCCGGCCTATAAAAGAGCACGTCTCGGCGCTGGGCTCACTCGCTGGTGGTGGGCGCGCCGAGTCTGGATCTGGGTGTGCTTTAGCGTGTCCTCTGCGCTCGCGGCTTTTGGAAACTTGCTGCTTAGACCGCAACATGACATTGGAAGAAATCCGCGGGCAGGATACAGTTCCGGAAAGCACAGCCAGGTGGGTCTGGGAGTGCGAAACTAGGCTGGTACGGGGGCAATGTTCAGGGTCTCTTGAGATGGAAGGCCGTGGGGTAGGTGTCTAGCACCCGATACCGGCGGGGTGCGGGCGCCTTGCGGGTGCTGAGAAGCCGAGGAAGGTTCAGGGCCAGAGAATCAGGGTTGCTGGCGCCAGGTTGGAGCTGGGGAGTCCGGGGGTGAGTCCCTGAGGCTCGAGAGTCTGGGTGCAGGCGTCCGGTCGGGCTTGGAAACCAGGAGTGCGGGCGCCAGGCTGTGGCTGGAGAAGAGGTTGGAGTTGGAAATTCGGGACTGGAGGCTGCGCCGCATCCCGGGTGGGTCTCACTCAACTCACCGCCCTGGTTTTTTAACAGGATGCAGGGCGCCGGGAAAGCGTTGCACGAGCTGCTGGTGTCGGCGCAGCGCCAAGGCTGCCTCACCGCCGGCGTCTACGAGTCGGCGAAAGTCCTGAACGTGTGAGTATTCACGCGGCCCGGGCGGGGCGATTGGGTGTGGAGCGGAGGGGACATCTGGGAGCTGCATCCCGGAGACCCTGGCTCCCCAACCCTGACCTTATTCTCCCCATCTGCCTGCTCAGTGACCCTGACAACGTCACTTTCTGCGTGCTGGCCGCCGACGAAGAGGACGAAGGTGACATTGCGCTGCAGATCCACTTTACGCTGATCCAGGCGTTCTGCTGCGAGAACGACATAGATATTGTGCGCGTGGGCGACGTGCAGCGGCTGGCGGCGATCGTGGGTACTGGCGACGAGGCAGGCACGCCAGGCGACCTGCACTGCATCCTCATTTCGGTAAGTGCAGCCTCTGCGCCCTTCCCAGGGTCTCGCCCGCCCTGTTGTGTTCCGCGGCCAGCCTAGCTGACCCCTGCCCTCTCCTGGCAGAACCCCAATGAGGACGCGTGGAAGGACCCTGCGTTGGAGAAGCTCAGCCTGTTTTGCGAGGAAAGCCGCAGCGTCAACGACTGGGTGCCCAATATCACCCTTCCCGAGTGACAGCCCGGCGGGGATCTTGGTCTGATCGACGTGGTGACGCCCCGGGGCGCCTAGAGCACTGCTGGCTCTGTGGAGTGGCCGGCCCTAGGAGGGCGCCCTAGTGCGGCGTGGAGAACTGGCAGGCGAGGGTGCCTGGAGAGCGAGGAGCGCGGTCTCCGGAAGAGGTGGCTGGCGGCGGCAGGGGCAGGCTGGCCCGAGCCGAGGACTCTGCAAGTGTCTGTAGCGGCTGCTCGCCCGCCCAGGAAGGCCGGCCGAGGCGGGGACGCTGGCTCCAGGGCCGGGAAGGACGGACTGGCCCGGCATGCGTGACTCAGCAGCCTGTGCTCGGCACCAAAGAGGGCAAGGCGAGAAGAGGTGGCCTGGACTTGGTACAGCTGTGGGAGCGTGATGGACTTAGCAGGCTGCACTGCTTTTTTCAAAATGGATTCGGGCAATGATGCATTTTCTTAAAAAAAGGACGCTGCCGTTGAAGCTTTGAATTTTAGCAATAAACTTCTTGAAACAAACTTACGCTTTTTATTGCGGGTAGGGAATCCTTGGGGGCGGGGTGGGGGTAGTGGGGTGAGCTGCGTTTCCGGATGGTTGCAGGAACTCGGTGGAGCGGATGGCACCTGTTCCCACCTTCCTGTCGGGCAAGAATTACAGGCTCGTCGGGCTGGCAGTGGGGGGAGGGGACGCCCGTGCGCGGTAGGGGAGGACTTGAGCCAGGCTCCTGTTTCTCTCCTTTTAGGAAGATTTAAAACTTGCAAGACAGGAGCATACTTGAGATAAGGCAGCCGGGTGGGTGCAGCAGCTCAAGGCTTGCAATCCTGTCGGTAACAGTGACCTCTGCCTCCCTTACGTCCCCTCCCCCCTCCACTCCTCCGACAGCTGCTTATCTGAACAGCTTGCAGAAGGCCAGCAGCGCCTTCCTACACAATGAGCTTTGCCTTCTGCAACCCTACCCTTTGTGGTCCCTGGGGATGGGGGGCAGGCTGCTGTTTTCAGGAACTTTCTCTTAATTGCTCTGACAAAGCAAGGTTGCAAAGGTATTAATATCAAATATGTCACCAATGACTGCGTTAAAGCATGAGTCATCATTTTGTCACGGCTGTGATAGAACTTAGAAGATCTGAGCAAAAACTGAAAGGCAGCATGTATATAAATAGGCGTGAGCAATTTTGAGTGGGGTTGGCATCTGGTATCTCCTATTTCGAGTGTCCTCTGCCCACATCAGCCTTAAGAAGACTATACTGCTATTCACAATTCCTTTTAAAGACTTAGAGGAGAAAACAATATATTAATCTTTTAAGCTAAGATTGCCTTTAAAGAAAGATCTGGGAGGAAAATGCCCTGATGGATGGATTTTTTTCCTTTTTTTTTTTTTTTTATTAGACTTGTATGTCTTGATTTTCACTCCCTTGCCTGACTAGTTGCTTTCCGCAGAGGAAGTGCACGTGGGACTTTCAGCTAGGTTGCAGAGCAGCCAACAGCCTTCGGGGAAAGGAGGGGTGGTGTGCTGTTTTTCTAAGAAGGACATTCTGTTGATTTATCTGCAGTCCTTGGGGTGGCTGATTTGCCTGTTGAGTGCCACTTCTAAAATTCTCTCCAAATTGTGAAAGCGTTTGCAAGACAACAGGAAAACTGTAGGAGCTTAATTACTCTTCCTGTATAGAAAGCATCCTGTTTCCCATTTATCTGCTCTTAAAAACCTTTGCTAATTGATGGGGCAGAAACCCAATGCAGCGTTTGTGACCAATTTTCATTAATGTTTTTACCTCTTTGATGCCCCAAATCCAGTTTTCCTTATCTAGGTGGTCTTGCAGGAGTGGGTCTATCTAAACCAGAATTTGCTCAATCAAAATGTGCTCATTTGCCACAATGTGCTGGAGAAACCGTAAAGGGGACATAATTACTTCTAAATGTACCCTTAAATGAGTAAATTCAGCAGAACTTTGCACCACAGCAGGCCAGCAGACCCCCCCCCCCTCTCCTGCTGGCTAAGTGACCCTTAGAGAACATTGATTTGGCAGCTGGTATAAAACTTGGCTTTCTCTATTTAGAGCTTGCTGTGAGGCCACCTGTTAGAGCTACAGAAGCTAGGAGAATTTGCAGGGGGGAAAATAAATGCAGGTTTGGACACAAGGCTGGGTTCAAAGTTTGTGTTAGGTGTTTTCTTTAACTTTTCTTTTGGAGAATGCATGTTTAATGTTATTAAAATGAACCGAACTAGAGAGCAGGTCATTACATGCAGAACACAACGTGGCATTGGATACTTGGAATCCAACTCTGGGTGATAATGCATACGAGCTAATCACCACTTGCATGTTGAGATGATGCAGGTATACTGTTGAGCCCCCCAGCCTCCAAGGCTTTGAGTGAATGCTAATGACTCTTATATTAAAATCTAAAGAAAGCATTTGCCCAAGATTCCAACTAGGTGAACGGATTGGGGGCCAGGAAGGCTGGTTCCAGGGCCAACAGTTACCCTCACACTACTAGGGGCTGGAGTGCTTGCAGGCCAGGATGATTTTTGGAAAGGCTACTTTTCTAGGAAAATTTCTTACACTTGCAAAAAGTTATAGATATGAGTGGTAGAAAAATTGTAAAATGCAAAAACCTTAGAGAACAAGGTAAAAGAACCTATACCCCAACATGGGGACATTTGAGCATGTTCCCTTCTGTTTTTTTTGTTTTCTCTCTGGGGTGTGTGTAACAGGACAGGCCTGCTGTCTGCAGGATTTTCAGTGTCACCTGTCCAAAGGAAAGCTGACAAAACTTGTGGTGCCCTCAAGGAATGAAAGTCACGCATGCTTTGCTTTTATTTTTAAAAAAATGTTTGGCCATTCGGTCATCGCTGTAAGGATTTGCCGGGGTAAAGCACGTGTCCTAAAGAAGAAATGGATGCAGAAAGCACAACTGAAGGGCTGCGGGGATCAGGCCACCATTGCTAGACCAGGCTTTGTTTCTGCAGGAAGCTGGGGCCTTGTTCCTTCCCTGGAATAATGATAGGACAAAATGATCTCTGAGATTTATTTTCTTTTTAAAGGCTCTAATTCTCTGTGTTCTGCATTTTATTAAATCAGTCACCTCAATAGCACAGTGCGTATTGCTCTTGAGGCTTACAAAGCACCACTTGAGAAGAAATGACAAATGTATTTCTCAGAGGAAAAGCAAGGTTGTTGACAAACAAAACCAAGCTTGAGAGGTCCGCTCAGTGAGCAGACACTCGGTTTTGGTTTTTCCTTCACAGTTATTGCATTTTTCAGTTTTCCAAGATATCGGCCCCTGGACTCCCTCAATGGCCCGAGCTGGTGTGCAGGGTCATCATGGAATGGAGGACATGAGGCAGTGCCCAGAAAGATGACAGGTGTTCTATGCTTTATAAGGTGTTGGGTTTTTTTTTTTTTTTGGTACTAGGGATTGACCCCAAGGGCGCATTACCACTGAGCTCCATCCCTAGGCCATTTTTATTTTTTATTTTGAAACAGGGTCTCTCCAAGTTGCTTAGGGACTCGATAAATTGCTGAGGCTGGTGTTCAACTTGTGATCCTTCAGCCTCAGCCTCCCTCCGAGCCACTGGGATTACAGGCTTGCTGTAAATTGTTGTTTTTAGGTCTAGCTCAGACTTTTCTTGTTTATCTTCTAGAATAGCCTTGCCAAGGGATTTCACTTCTCTTAGCAAATGCAAATGTGGGAGGAAGATCACCTGTCGGGGTGAAGGCTGCCTGGAAGGGTCTTCATTCCAGGAGGAGGTGGTGCAGTCTCAGTCTTGTGGCCACGTGCCTTCCAGCTCACCAGCGCAGCAGAAGCTCCCCCACCCCACAGCCATACTGGGGAGCCTCTTAAATTCCCAGTAGTGGATGAGGAAGTCACCGCCTTGCCAACCCCCCTCATGGTCCAAGATGCCTTCATTTACTCCCTGATGAATATAGCTGGTATTGCTTGACAGCATGGCTGTGCTGTGCCAGGCACAGTCCTAGGCACAGTCTCTCCCCATCAGTCCCTGCCTGTCTGGGAAGTCCAGGCACTGCTCGGTCCTCAGGCCCATGCCATCCAATCATCCCACCTCCAAACACCTGAGGGTTGTGGCTCAGTGGTAGAGCGCTTGCCTGGCTTGTGTGGGGGACTGGGTTCGATTCTCAGCACCGCAGATAAATAAATGAACAAAATAAACGTCCATCAAGGTCTTAAAAAAAAAAAAAAAGGACTTAAAGAAGAAAATGAGGTATGGGTTTGCCAGGCCCTCATTTCCCCATACCCATTGTTAATTGGGTGAGATCCCCTGCAGGCCACCTAAAAAAGATGTCACTGTTTACATTCCACTCATTTTGGCACCATAAACACCATCTCCCGTTTATTTGCATTCTTCCAATTTCTCTCCAGTCCAGCCCTTCCCAGAATGTGACCACGTGCTTTCCCAAGAGGACTTCGAGTGACTTCTCTGTGTGCTGCGTCGCCCCCTCCGACTTTCCCCACTTGCCCCTCTTCCCCAAGTCGTGCAGCTCCTGCTCTGGAAAGGCTCTGGAGACTCAGAGGAGACCCCCCCTCTGCACCTGCAGGCTTCCCCATTACTTGGCCTGGTGTCTGGCATCTCCTCCTCCTCCTCCTCCTCCTCCTCCCAAGGCCCTGCCTGCCCCTGTGCGGCTGTCCAGTAATGCCCCATCTGACCCTGGCTGAGCCCCAGCTCTGCCTCTGCCCTGGCCTGGAGGTGCTGCAGCCCAGGCAGTGGTGATAAGAGGGGATTTCCCAGCAGAGGGGCAGGTGTGTCCCAGCCGGGGGCGGGGGGCAGATCTGGCGCAGTGCACGTGAAAGTGCTCAGGGCTGGGCACTCTCTCTATTAGGATTCTTGGTGCTTTTTCTGCCTCCCTGACTCTTGGTCCTGCCCCTAAAATCCCTCCCCTCAGTGTCTGGCCCTTCATCTCACCTGCTGGGCCACCAGGGACTTCAGCAAGCCCCCTCCACATTTTCAGGGATTCTGGTTTAGATTGCCAGGTAGCAGGGGCTCCTGTCCAGAGCAGGAGGATGTTCTGCGATGGGTTCTGTGGCTGTCTCCTGGGCCTTGGCCTGGGGTGGGGACCTGTGGTGGGACACATCTCCGCTGCCTTTTCTCTCTTCCTGCCTTTCTTTGTGTCCCTCAGCACCTGTGACAGAGGCTGGCAGGAAAGAGTCCCCTGGGGCAGGTGGAAGGCTGGGTGGGGTGCAGGGTTGGGGGGCCTCCCACTAACCGTGTCTGAATCAGTCCCTCCCTAGGCTAGAGGTACAGGGTGACAAACAGAGGGATGATTGTGCTTGTCTGAAACCAGCACCAAGTAACAATCAATGTGGCAGTTCCTTGTGAGTCTCCTCTGAGCTTCGGAAAGGAACACGGTGTTTCTGGGAGAACAGAGTGGGCCGCGCCATCCCTCCGCCCTTTTGCACAAAAGGGAAGGTGCGTTAGAACAAACACTGCAGGGGACGTTGTCCTGGAAACTACAGCTTGACCAGAAATGGTGGCAGGATGTGTGGAAAACACAGTGTGCATGGA